AGAAATTACTGTTTTTTAATTACATAAAAATGCAGATTACACTACTGATATTTGGGTATAAAATTGAAAGAAAATATTTGGATAATTAGAAACAGTTTTATTTTTTTCCGGTACACTTGCAAATTCTTGTTATAGTTACAATTATAAAAATACGAGAAACCCACAATTAAAACAAGTAAAGAAGTATAAGTTCGGTCGAAATCGAACTTTATATACCCGGCAAAGATATGAAATTTCGTCATTTCAATTTTCTCTGAACTACTTACCTTTGCATAAGCACGGGTATTTTTCCCGATTTCAAAAGTTTTCGTTAATATGCTGAGTTAGACTTAATGAAATAATTGAACCAAGTTTGGTAGAAATCAATAAAAGCCTTGTAGTCATAAAGTGGGCGGTGCCACGACCAATTCCTAAAAGTTTATAGCAGTCAAATTTATTGAGAAGAGATGGTTGTAAGTATTTTGTATTCAGTTATTAAATTATCGTAGCTTTCGTATGTGTCAAATTTACCGCTATACGGGAAATGGATATAATTTTAGTCCGATTTGAATAATTTTCAGCGAATTGCTTCTCCGTACCAGAGTTATTAAGCGCACATTTGTGGTGATAAGGACGCGGCATCACGCTCATTTTCCAAAAATTTATAATAATCGAATTTTCTGCTAAGTGGTTATTACAATCATCGACTTGTAGTCAATTAGCTTCAATTGGTTATTGATTTATTGCAGTTTTCGTGCTTCTGTAAATTACCGTTATATGGAAGGTTATAGCACGCTTTTGGGCAAGTGCGCTCGGGTATACAAACATATATTATACCGTCGCTCCCAACGAAGAGTAGCACATCTCAAATTACCGTGGAAGACTAGCACGTTTCACTATTCGCGTCGAAGACTAGCACATTTCATTATTCGCGTCGAAAAGTAGCACATTTCAGATTCTCGCGTGGAAGACTAGCACATTTCACTATTCGCGTGGAAGACTAGCACATTTCAGATTTTTGCGTGGAAGACTAGCAC